CAAGTTGAGCTTTTGCTATCTATTCTGATTTAAAGGCCAAGGAAATGAAAAGGACTTTTTGATAGAAAGACTTCATTAAACCAGAAGCCTTGCCTTAGCTGCAGCAATTTCTCTAAGATTCAAAAGCCAGTGTGCTAAGCTACTGCCAAACAGAAATATACCTAACTTAGGGCTAAACCTTGCTCACATCATTTCTGAATAGCACTGAAGCAACAAAGTTTCCTAGGCAACCCCAAAAAGAAGTCATCCATTTAACACAATCCTATGGTGAACAGCTTGAACATTTACTATCTGTTCTGACTTGGCCAATTCTGATTGTGTAGTTCACAAACATATAAAAAACAAGCCACAGTTGAGAAAAAGACAGGCACAATTCAATTTCTGGTTAACAGATTTTTTCATCACTTGTTTTTGATTCTTATTTTAAACATTCACACAATAATACATTTTCTATTTCAAACAGTAAAGATGCCATCACACTTGTGCAAACACTAAACAAACCATATTGAGGCACAAAGCCAGAAGGAATTCAAGTAACAGTCAGAAAGTAATTTGGAAGATGCATTTTTTTCTAAATCTAAGGTCTTTAAAAATAAACCAATTTTCCCATCCACACAAACAGCTGACTTGCCTATGTATACATACCAAGTAATGAGATACCTGTTTAATTTTTTGGGTAATTTTTCATAAAAGACAACAATTTTCTATAAAAACTAGTCCTTGAATGCTTGAAATCTATGTACCTACCAGATAAGTAACTATTATTTAAGAGAAATTTTTTTTTTTAAATAAAAATATATATGTTTCTCTATACTACCTAATGGCAGCTAAAATATAACAATAATTTTACAGTGAACTGGTCATACAAAGAAAAATATTTTAAACTGTTTCTCTATAGGTAATTTAAATTAAAACTAAAAATATTTTATATTTTAAATGAACTGGTCAATAGGTTAAGAAAGAAAAATAGTGTTAGAACACTGCAGACACTCCTGCTGACATCACACTGAATAATTACAACTTTTGGTCTTTGTTACAAATGCTGTAAAAGTGTTTCTATGAAAAAAGCAATGTTCCCCCCATCCCCAAGAAATTAGAACAGTAAGCCATTAAAAAAAAAAAAACCAACCACAAAACACAAAAGTGCTTTAAGAGGCATTTCTTTTAGCTTGCATGATATAGCCTTTGGACTTGATAATTCCTCTGCTTTTAACAATGACTGAATACCGGAGAAGCCATAAAGGAATCCACTCGCGTGCTTTCATGTTCTGGATGCTTTCCTGAAGAACTTCTTGGAAACTTGCTTCACAAAGTAATTCTGAAGTTAAAAAGGGATATTGATGCTTTAAATAATGTCATGTAAACAGCTGCAAAAAGCAATACTTAGTAAGAGAAGCCTTTTCCTATAGTCAAAAATCTTAAGCGGTGCCAGATATTCCACAGATCCACTCTTCTGGAATGCATATAGGGTAAAAGCAGCTGAATACTACAGAAGAAATTTTCAAGACACTTGTTTTGCAACATTGAGTATTTTGCACAAAACTAATTAACTGAGATTTCTACAATGTCAAATGGAATTGATCAGCAGAGCCATTAGCAGGAAAAAATGAAAATTGAGAAGCTAGCTAGACAAACCAGAGGCGAGTAAAGCATAAGGCTGAAATCAGCAAAGTACTGAGCATCCTCAGGTACCTCTGCAGTCACTGGAAGCTCAACTTTTATAGCATCTTCCATAACTGGGCTCATAACCACTGCAAGCCCAGAAAGTATTAAGAAAAATGGGCTTAAATGCCACAAAGCAGAAAAGGAAGGCAAGTACAAATCCTAGTTTCCTCTGGAAAGTCAGTCAAGGGAACAATCTCTTTGACAAGGAGTGTTCCCAAAAGACAGTCTCAATACTCTTCAGGTGACCATTACAGAAAAGTTAAGCTTAGCGAACAACACATAAGGAAATCACTACTTGCTTTGTTTTCTATCCAAATCCTCTTCTCCTTCATTTCATGACTCTCGATAGAGAGTATTTATTAAATTGCAAGTTGCAGTTTGGACTTCAGAGGACATGGAAATTGTGGGATTGAATGACAATTCATCTTGCATGCTGCCAGAGCAGTGCTGATTTGTGCTTGAGCACTGATGAAATTCATTAGTTGTAACAGTGGTACTATAAAGTATGTACTTCATAAGTAGCATTTAATTTTTTTTTTTCTTTGGGGGGGGAAATGGGAGGAAAGGAAAAGGAAGGGTAAGTATGATCATCATGAATAGTTAGTCATAAAGAAGAATGTAGGGAAGGAATGAATATTAAGACTTTTCGCTTACAATTGCACAAGGTATTTAAGGTGTCATTATAGAGAAGAAGATTAGATGATGTTTGAGAGAAACCAATATCCCAGAATATTCTAGGGAGCTGGTAACTCAGAGTTCTAGAGTCTAAAGGAAAGCCGCCAAGTCCTTCAATCATTTAGTAAATGAATCACTGCACAAAGTAAATAAAGAATTTACACCAACTTTTTGCAATAATGTTATTTTAAGAAGTCAGAACTTTGAAAGAATCCTGCTTAAAGTGTAATGCTTTACATGTCTAACATTACCAAACTACTCAAAAGTCAACTGACCATCAACATTTCTATGCAAGCTATTTCAGTCAAGTTCTGGGCAGGTGGACTTTGATTTGTCATTTACTGGCCTTCAGCAATACAACTGTTATTTCATTCTAGGTTTTGTGGAAATAAGCTATTTTTGGAACATACGTAGTACAAACTCCTCAGTAGTTTGTTCTTCGATTTACTTTATTTTCTCTGACTAAAATGATTTCAAGAAACTATCAAATGGTGGAAGATTGCCTTTCCCCTCCCCTTTCTTGAAGCATAAGCAAGAACTTAACAGAAATATTTTAGAGAGGAGAAACTTTTAGAATCCTTTGTTCAGGATTCAAATGTAACAAACTTTGAAGTTCAGAAGATTATTTCTTATTTTGTACTGAATAATGCATTTAGAAGTCTTCTGTTAACTTATCTGGCAAAGCCTTACCTTTTGGGTCATTGTGAGTTAACAGCTGTATATCAAACTCCTTTGCAAATGCTGTGAGATCAGGCGGCATCACACAACAGGAAGCTAGGTTCACCTGATTACTACTTGGTTTCACCTGAAAGTAGCAGAATACTTTTGTAAGAAAAAAATATTAATGTTTTAGTTGTTTCCTCCATGCCCTCTATTACAACAGAAATTTTGCTTTGAGCAATTTGCCTTTGACCATTGTTTTGAGATCTGAACAAGGCTAATTAATTCTGCATGATGCTGAACAGGCAACTCCTACATCTGCAATTTCTTGCGGCCCAGAGCCCAAAACAGGAATAGGATCGAACTTCAGGTGTTGTCACAGCAAGATGAGTACTAACCCACTCTGGCTTCCTGTCTGCTGTGCTCCCTAAACAGTAGCAGAGGTTTTTTTTCCCCCTCTCTAGTGAAAGGATTATAGGAGCACTAGTCTGAAAAACACTTCAAATTAAAAAAATCCAAATAATTTTTTCTTAAGGATATATAATTTGCAGCCTTCCATGCCTTCAAGGTAAGTGCCTAAATCAAATTAAGTTATAAGGGATGCTCTTCCACTGACTCTTTCTCTGCTCATCACAAACTGTAGGTAGTCATTAATTCCCCCCTCTCCCTGGCCCATTATCCTCTTCCCAGTATACACAAAACAGCAAGGAGCACAAATCAGGACTCTCGAAAGGACCTCTTACAGTATACTCACATACCACAAAAGAAATGTCATTAAGAGGAATATTCAAAGAACTAATAAAGAAACAGTAAATCCACAAGCTTACATGACCATGGGCACATACTAGTACAGACCCCCATCACCCAAATGTTAAGAGGCAATTAGTCACATGGGACAACAAGATGTTGTGCCACTTCATTCATAGCCTGTCTTCCTCTTTCCAAGGGGGAAATCCCTCCATTCATAACACAGCTTCAAGTGAAAACAGCTATGTGTTCAGAGCCACTGGAATAAATCTGAAGGTTTAAGAGTACTGTTTATACCCCTTCCTAAATATAAAAGCATTCAAAACTCAAACCTTCAGTGCTTCAAAGAACCTGCTACTCAACAGACCTGTGGTTTCCAGCCTTTGCTGGTCTGCAGGTAAGATCACTGAACAAGTGACAGTCACACTTCAAGCTTCCCTCACCTTGAGCAACATTGTTACCATTCATAAGATCCGGAATGAAAATAACAGGGCTTATTACAATTTTGTATATAAATCCATTTATAACAGAAGTTTATAACAATGTGGCAGCCAACAAAACAACAGTTATTCTGTCCTAGAAATGTTACAAGTAGGAAATTTGTTCTCACCTGTGCCCACAGATACAGCTGCTCTAACAGTGTTTTATCTAGGTCAGAGGTACCTATAGCAACAATCTTCTGGTTTTGAACTAGATTTTCAAGTTCTTGCCAATAAGGTTGCAAATACTCCAAGGACAGGCTAGTGCCATCTTCAACAGGAGGTGGGGCAACAATGACTGAGTCTAATTGAGCAACTCCGAGGGCAGAACATGCTGAGGAAAAAGAACAGAGATGCTCCAAACTTTTGTGAGATACGAACATAAGCAGTGTGACTTTTCAAATTCAGCAAAAAATACAGCTCCTGCTTTGCTCTGCTAGCTTCCCATTCACCATTTGAAACTCTGAGTGTATCAGCAGTGAAGGATAGTAACACAATGTTTTTAGCAAAGAATCAAATACATAGCTGAAGTCCAAGCTTCCATTGTACGTCTTGGGTGGAAAAAACCCAAACCAACAAACCCCCAAAACTCCAGAAACCCAACAACCAAACCAACCGTGAAGCTTTTTTCTCCTTTTTAATGCTAAAACTATATTTTTCTCTGTAGACAGTGGTGACAGACAATTCTTGATTCCTTCATTGTCAATTTCTTCCAAAATTTGTAACGTTCACTCTGAACTACAACTTGAGTGCAGGGCATGGGCTAGGATAACTATTTGATGTATGGGAAGAGTTAGACCAAAAGCACACCGAATATGGAGATTTAAATTGCCAGGGAGAAGTGGCAAGCTTTGGAGTATCACTGAGCTTTAGGAAAGATACAAGTCATGAGCCCTCTTCTGCACAGCAAAAAGAATAAAATTAAGTAGCTAAATAATTTATTTTCTTCTGAAGGAGGATTTTATCAACATACTCTTAAAAAAACTGGTACTACAACTTACAATAAAGAAGTTATTAACTGGGGTATCGATAGAAGAGAACGATATCTGGCCCTTTGTTCCTTGTTAATTCCTTATGCCCAACAGTCTTCCAAAGTGGTAAAGTTCAGTGCTGCTCACAATTACTGCTATGTTAGGCTAACAAAACTTTATGTATCAGTACAGCCATTGTATTGTATTTTCAATAAAACTTAATTATTTTATCAGCTGCTTGCAGCATTGTTTACTTCCTAAGTAATCTCTGAAATACTGCACAATTAGTACCAAAGGTCATCATGTTAAAAACAACTGGCAACTAACAACAACCAGTAAGAACTGTTGTATCACTGTTACTAAAACATCACATGCTGTTCGCTTTTTGGCAAGTCTTCTGTGAAAGAATAAAAACTTGCTCCTGCTTGGAACAAGGAATCAGATTTGAGTTTGTGGACCCAAGGTTACAGTGATCCACATTTGCTAAGTTTACTGACTGAACTAACGTGTGAATAGACTCGATTACTTAAGTCTGTCAACAGGAAAACAGGATATACTTGTGACAGTCACTACATACACCTGTTAGATGGAAAAGGTTCCAATTTTATTGCTAAATAATGTAAAAAAGAAACTCTACCAGAAGTTTAAGTTTCACACTTACCCAGGTCAACTGCATCTCTGATCGATGAAGAGTTTGATCCAACGATGAAAAGTTTCGCTATTTTCAGAGAAATTGGAATTAATAACTAAACAAGCTAGCTATTATTTTATATATATAGCTATTTACTTTTGCTATACACACTACTTATGAGTTCCAGGGTTAAAGATTCTTGGAATATAAACCAATTACTTCAAAAATTGGAAAAAAAAGGCCTTCTGAAAGGTGACTGCCCAATAAAGAAACTGTTCTCTTAAATTTCAAAGTTGCACAATCTCAGAAGAAGAAATCATCCAGTTAAATGATCTATTAAGCTGTAAAGCTAGGACTTCAGCATCAACACACTAAGCAATAACCATAAAACCCCCAAACGTTATAGTACAAACAGTCCTCTTCAGGACTGAGAGTCAAAATGTACTCATGTTAGTTTGGACTGCCTCTTTCAAGTTCATCATATTCAATCTGGAAAAGTTATGCAAATAAATGTGCGTCCAATGCTATCTCTTAATTCCAGTACTATCTGTAATATTCTGTTTCAGAAAAGTCAAAGATTCACAAAATACATTTAAAACGTCTTGAGGGAATGCAAGTTAAACTAGAAAAATGCTGAGCTGCTATAAAACCCGAAATATGAATTTGAGCCTTCGGGTAATCTAGAAGTTGGCTAAGAAAATACAACAGTGCGCACTGATGTCACTGGACTTTAAAATTACAAAATACAGTGGAAGAAAATACATATATGAACATCCTATTAATGACTGCATATGAAACCTTTTTATGCCACTGGATTTGACTATGTTCTTACCTGATACTTTCAACTCATCCCTTTCTTCAGGGTTTATTTTTTCTATAGCTTGAGCTACAGTACATTCCAGAACCTCCAGTACTTCCTGTAATAAGTACATGAGATTTAGGAACAACTCATCAAGAGGAGACAATAAGTTCCTGAAGGAAAAAAAAGCCTTATAGCAGTTCAAAACAAAAATAGTATAAAAAAGCAGGAACAGAAAGAAAGTAACCCAATGCTTCTTGCTCTCTGAGGGGAAATCAGGAAAATGCAGCTATATACCCCTAATACAAACAAACCCCCAAAACCAAATTACCAGTAAGAATTACTGGAATAAGATTTAGTACTGTTCCGATTTTCTGATACGAACAGATCACTGTGCCAATTCAAACTGCCTTGCTTTAAAAAAACCCGCAGGACCAGCTGAAAAAAAAAAATCAGAATTAGGGGTTTTAGGTGGGAACATCTTTGCATAACAGTAATTTTGTAATTTCAGTGAAGCTTATGAAAAGCTACAGTGAAATTGCTGTAAAATACAGATTTAAAACAATAATTTTGAAACTAAAAATTAGGAAAGTTTCAGAGATTTCACCCTCTGACCTCATTTAAGACTAGGCTGACATGTTAGCTGGCACAAGGTGACTTTAAGTCTTTACCTACATGAGATTTTTGTATTATACAGACACACACCACCTCGCCCCCAACGAAGAACTCTGGTAATTTTTGCTGCCCTACCAAAAAAATCATCAAATGAGTCTTCAAGTTACTCCATACAGTCAGCATTTTAAACAAACGTTAACTTTTTTATTATTATTACTGGAAACCAATATAATTCATAAAAGAATTTGGAATTATACAGTTAACATGTTGACATTAAAACCTAGCTTACGCTAAATAATTAACTTTACATGGATCACTATATCTTACAGAGACAAATGTTTATTTATGTTCTCTTCTTGAGCAATCATTAGGTCTTCCACAAATCATTCAGCAATAACTGCCTCACCACACTCCAGTGTGGAATGCAGCAATGTGCAGTTGATGCTACCATTACACAAGAACTGGTAACAAACCCAAAGAAACGGTCAGGAGTTTTTTAGTTTGTTTTTTTTTTTAAATGAAACATGCTAATATTTCACAGAGCAAATAACATATTTAGTGGGAACCTATTACTGCTTTGCTGAATTTCAGAAGCAACAGTGAAAGAGGAGCAGGCAAATACACCAAGATCTTGATGTTAGATGCCTATGACTCTGGTTTTAAGAATTACGCGAAAGTCTTCAGCTCTTAAAGGAAAAATTCCCACTTCTGCATCTTCAGAAATATTTCTGAAACAACCAAGGCTACACTTCAGAGTTCCCCTCCAAACAAGATGATCTTCAGTTTATCATCTCCATAGTTTAGATAATTCTCCACTGAGTTTTTACAAGCATGCTAGCAAACTTCTAAGGTACACAGATATTTTTTTTTTGTGATTACCCCAACAATTAACTAAGACCTGTCTTACTTGCCATCAACAGGATTCTTTACTTCAGTATTTCTTACCCTCTCCAAATTTACTAATTTTTTTTTTTTTAAAAAAGGGGTTTGAGAAATACTCTTTTACAATATCTGGAGCCACAGACACTTTCACAGAAATGTGATTCATTTATATTTTAAAACATGTAACCAACTACATATTTCTCTGTTTTCACGTGTAACATGGATAACATGCATAACACCTCTCCTACCTGATTTAGGTCTTGTCCAATCTTTGAGCTCCATTCAGTCAGGGTTTTCTGAATGCAGTCCCGCACCTACAAAATATTTGTTCATGTTGAAGTGTAGGTACGCTATAGCTGCACAGAAATTTAATGATTCATAGGCACGTAGGACAGAATGAGCAGGTGAACTAAGGACACCACTCCTTCAACCACAGAAGATTTTTCCTTCATAGCTTCCATCTGAAACTTGTTCAAACTAGTTTACTTGCATATTTTCCTCTCCTCTTTGAGAAAGAGTTTTAGCAGTAACACAAGTACTGTACTTCATTTATTTCTCAGACCAATGCCATCTTTAAAGGCAAGAACAATGCTAAGCAAGCAAGAACTAGGGTGTGTGGTGGTTTGGGGTTTTTTTGCGTAGAGATTCTTAAGTTACAATGTAGTCAGATAGCAGTATATGTGCTGTGACATTGTTAGAAACAAGACTTCACGATCAATCACTAAATACTCATTATATTAATTACTTCTCTTTCCGCTATGCATCTGACCCTTTTCATTTCCTCTCTACCTATTCCACTGTGCCAAACGACTCACTAATGCTTTTAAGTCCTTCATTACCGAAGGGGGAATCTTCAAATCCTACCGCACACTTGCATCTTTCCTGCATCCACAGATGCGAAATAAACTTGACTAGGATTCTGGTAATGGATTTTCTTGAACATAGTAAGGCACAGCTATTAAGTCTAAATCAGCTAATTAATTGCTTACTGTACCAGTGCTTCAGCTGTACCAAGCCCTAGGTTCCTTATCATACATCTCAGGAGTTGTCACCCTGGAGGCTAAGGAAAAGTACTGTCAAGACTGCTATCTGCCACAGGTAGGAGCACTTTTACCAGCTGCTGCTTTACTGCACTTTTAGCAATATATATTATACCTATCCAGATACATACTTTTTGTACCATTAAATCGCAATTTCCCATGACACTTTAATTCAGAGAGCTCATAATACCATGCACAAACTAGAAGCCAAGCCCCACCATAAAACTGGATATCACAAAGCTTAAGACATAATAAAGTAATAATACTTTGTGAGCACAAACTCTATACATTCTTTCCCAGTCATTTAAAATGGCTTGAAAAAAAAAACCTGAGTCAAAAGGCAAGAATTGACTCCCCCCACTACATCGCTATCCACAATGCTGGAACTCTTTAGCCTGTTTTAATGCAACTTACGATGTTATCTTTTCCTTTCTCAGGGAAAGTGAGACAGTGCTAAATATGTATACTCTATATATTGACTTTGCAACTGTCACACTTTATATTTTTACTGTGGTTAGTATGCACAAGCCTCTGCCTCCAAAGCACACCGTTCCCTGCCCTCAACACATGACAACTGCAGTGTATTTGACTACTTTGACCAGCTTTTCCACATACAGTTACACCCTCAAACTCATAACATTAGGGTTCATAGTTTGCAAAACTTTAGCTTACATTCTGCCACTGAGAACTATACACATGATAACTACATCAAATATGAGTTAAAAGCCAATTTATTTCCTATAATTAATGCAAATTATTTGCTTTTGGAATTCCAGCAACTCTGGAAAGCAGGCAGCCTTATGTTTAAATGCAGATTTCCCTGTAAACAAATGAATTTAAATACCTTAACTGAGTAGTTATGCACACTGGCCACTCTTTAACAACCCTCCAGAAACTACTCACACAAGGGTGCCCATTATGATACAGCTATCTCCCTGCTACAGAATCTAGCCCTATTTCACACAGATCACAGCATGTTGTAGTAAGTAACCAGGCCAAATAAAAAAAGTTATCACCACATGACAACCAAATAAAAGTATGATGAATTTTTACTTCTCATTACATCATCCTCCCAGTCACCTTTCTTACCATTTGTGCATGACTAATACACAATCAACCAGCTTCTACATTATCAACAGTGCCACTACATAGCAATAACCAGCCAAAACCATAGTTGTTCTGATTATTAAATGATCACTTTCAGATTATTGTGTCATGACAAGACAGCAAATACAGTGGTTCTGAAGTTCATGGCCACAGGATCTCCAGACATTTTATCAGGATTGTTCTAAGTGTTGATACATACTGCTAAAGGTAATAGTTTTAAAGTGGCGATTAAAAAGTTCTTTCAACTTTTTAAAGTTGAAAGTTTGACAGCTATACTCTTTAAAGAAGACAGCAATGACAGCAATTCCTGAGACTTTTCACCACTAAAAAATTTAATTAGTTTCAAGTCAGAAAAGAGAACTTTCATCTTTTGTAATGCAAGCTCACATCTATTCGCATTCTCTTGCTAAAGAATTATCAGTGATCTCCTTTGCCATTACAGGCAATACTTAAACTTGTAAGCGTTTTAATTCTTCACTCCCCAAGAGCAGAAACACGGTCCGGTTTCTTCCGAGAGAGGCTCCAAGGCAGCACAGGA